ACTGGTGAGTGGGTAGTAGCTGAGAACTGGCGACTGTGTAGTACAACCTTAGTATGCGGAGTAGGTGGGGAGCTGGAAGATGAGAACTGGCGACCTGGTAGTACAACTTTAGTACGCAGAGTAGCTGGGGACTGGGAAGATGAGAACTGGCGACTCCATTTAGTAGCTTCGTTCCTTATGCTAGTAAGCTCTTACTTCCCTACCCCTCTACCCCCTGTCGGGTGCTGCAGGGCCAATAGAGGTTCTGCTAAAAACTGCTGGTGGTGTCCAGAATCATTGCAATTTGGCTGTCCAAAGAACCGCCAACCCTCCGGCAACATTTTGCAATGTTGTTTGTTGGTCCATTGTTTTGAAATCTTGTGTGAGTTGTGTGTGTCTCTTTCCAGTTGCTTGGTGCATGCTTGCGGATCAATGCCAGTGTCATTTGTGCTCATGAAGACCTTATTCCGGATGAACACGGTGTCCATGTCCGTTTCTTATGAGTTTGAAAGGTATGCATTTATGCATCATTTATGGTTTGGTCGGTTTGACCTTTTCCTCGCCGACACGAACCAACTGCAGACGTGTAGACAGATAACTTGCAGCACATTGGTCCTCTTAGTGTTGTAATCAACCCAGGGCGATGGTGTTTTGGACACGACTATGGGATTAATTTTTTCCTCAACATGCGATTGGCCGCTGGGTGTTTGTCAACAAATCACTTATGCATTTGGCTCAATCAAGACAGGCTTAACTTAACAGTGGGCTTGATAGAAAGAACCTAACAATTGCATATTGTCATTGATTTATGCATGTTTTGTTGCGCTGCACGGACAGCATTGAAGAGCCTAGTGTGTGTACAAATTCGAGGCATCGATGGTTCGCCATGGTGTGGTTTTGTGTTGAGACTTGTGGCGGTCAAAGTGCAATACAACATCCTAAGGCTCAGCATGTACACCCTGCAAAGAAGAAGGATACAAAACCATGCCGGTACACTATGTTCAATATGTTGTGATATCGTTTGGAAGACTCGCTTGACCACTGTTCAGTTTCTGATAGCAGAGGAATGCAAAGGATCAGGGAGAGAAGCCAGACGAAGGTTGCGGGGAGGGGGGCCATGGAAAAACATATCCGACTTTTCATTCTAGGGTGGAGGCCATCGCCACTAGGTTGGAGGCCATCGCTAGTAGGTTGGTGAAATGTGGTGAAGTGCAGGGGTGTTTTTTGGACTGAAGAAATTGCTGGAAAAGCATGTGTGGTTTAAAGAACGTTCCATCACCGCAACACAAGACGGGGAAGGGCTCTTCTACATAAGAGCTGTTCGCACAGTTTCAGCGCCAGGTTATGGTTTCTAAGGTTAGTTTTGCCAAAAAGAGTTTCACCTGAAACCGTGTTGGTTCAATGTCTCAACAAATCCATGCACACGTGGACACACAACAAATATCAGCCCGAGGTGAAAATCCACCAAAACACGTGCTTCGGAAAGTTATGCCTGATTAGCGTGATCTTTCGCCTGAACTGGTTCCTAAGATATTGCAAATTCCTACTGAGATGTGTTTGTGTTTTTGTGGCATATGGCATGCCACTCGCCCTATGTGATAGACCTCAAATCCAAGTTCGCAGCGCAGGCAGTGCTGTGCGCTGATTGTTTGTCCTTCCAAGGCAAATTGTTCAACACCAATGAACTTCTAGGTCCTAGGTGACTGGCAACTGGTTGTTGCCAGATGCACGGGCGGGCGACAGGCAAGAAATATAAACGACAGGCCCACCTGATTCCAACGACCGACCGTAGTGCCAACCAGATTTTGCAACTCGCGCTCTCATGCCAAAGCGCTGTTCCAGGCGATTGCCTCCAACCTAAAAGCAATGGCTATTGCAAATGACGAATCACGTTTCGAATAGCACAACAATTTGCCTTCGACATTACCTACCACAGACATCCACAGACCACATCGACTGCCCCGCATAATTAGTGGAAATGAATAACGTCTGGATCCCAAGATCAGCCTGTGTTTATTATCCATCCTTCCGAAATCTTCCACGAGAATCTTTGGACATGTGCAAGGACATTGAGAATTTGCTGATGGGAAATTAGTCCTGGCCATGCCGCCCGCTTTTGTTTGGCGGCGGGTTGGATTTGATTAGTTTGTTTCTCCTAAAAGTCTAGGAATCAAATGAATAGTGGAGCATGAGCTGTCCTGCGTCCTAGGTACTAGCGTCCTAACTTAATAGCTACTTAAGAAAAGCTCTTTCGGCCAACCCCGCGTCTTGAAAAAAAACAAGATCAGGCTTGGGTTGTGGCCACTGCTCCCCTGACCTCGCCCTTCGTGCTAGGCAGCTGATACCTCTACCTCTCAACTATCTACCCTCTCTACAACATTCGTCCGAATGTCTCGATGGAAAACTGAACGTTTGAATGACCAGTTTGCTAAGGTGGTGGGGCGGAGCCCTGGTGAATATCTAGTAACAAGTGCCTTACTACTAGGAACAAGGACGCAACTAGGGGCTCCTGGCATCGCTACTAGGAGCAAAGGACGCTACTAGGAACAAGTGCATCGCTTCTAGTAACAAGTGCCTTGAATGAGTTTGACGCCCAGGTGGTGGGGCGGAGCCTCGGTGAATATGTTGAATTTCATTCCTCGGCTCCGGACCTTTTGCGCTGGGCCGAGCTTGTTGAGAACGATGCTCCTGGTCGCAGCCGATGCCCTCGACGAGGAGGGTCGGGTTTACTTCAAACTTGGAAGATTCTCTTAAAAACATATTAGGACCTGTAAACCTGTCCAATATGCTTTTTGTAGTGTCTCTAGAAGCTTAAAAGGAAACCGTTTCAAATCAACTTACTGCAAAGGACTTCAATATTAATTCAGCAGAATAGAAATCCAAACATCGAAACATGGATGTGTCACATGTCCGAACATTTCCGAACATATTTTGCAGATTTTGCGGCGCTCGACGAAACAAAATGCCCCTGCAATGTACAACACACACACAATACATCACAATACTCCTAGCATCCTGCAGCAGCGCAGCGTCAACGACACTAGCCGCTGCAAGCAGTACAGAGTTTACAAAAACTGAAAGCTGTGTGAGACACTGACGGCCATTGCAAGCAGTGTAGCATTGTAGCATGTGTAGCATCACAGTGCTCAACATTTGCGCATTGTAAACAGCTTTGACTTGTAGTAAGTAACTAGCGCCTCCAGAATGAGCAAACCCTGACCAAGCCAAAACCGGAAAAGCACCAAAAGCAACTAGGAAAAATGGAGTTCATACATTTACAATTTGTGCAAGTTGTTCCTTCTTTCCCTTACAGTGAGGGTGAGGGTGTCTAGGAGCCCTGAAAGGGGAGTTTCAGAAAAGAAGAAAGACCAAAGCCCGTCACATCCCACAGATCCCTACACTACACTTTTCATCCACACACGTTTGAAGAACACAAAAGCCGTGGCATGCCGGAAGCTTTCAAACAAAGCTTTCGCACGAAGGCTTCGAAGAAAGACTTCGGGCGATGGCCTCCCCAACCTAGTAGCGATGGCCTCCAACCCAGTAGCAATGGCCTCCAGCCTAGTAGCGATGGCAATTACTGTAATTGAACATTCATTTCAAAAAAAAAACTGTGCAATATGAAAACGGTTCAGGCTGGTCGGATCAATTAAAAGCCCCTCAGAACACATGGCCTTGAATGCCTTGCCTAGTTGTTGAAAAAGTTGAATTATGGGAAGTAAGTTAAATGCAAGTAGATGTCAGTCTTTGGGTCGTGCAATAATGACTTGACAGCTTTTTGTGTCGAAATCCTTCCTGAAAACGCGGGAATTAGTGCCAATAGATTATTTGTGTTTCAGCATTGAAGAATCGAACATTTGCCACGGCTGGCATTGGCTTTTTTACGGAAACAGCAGCCTGTCACCTGTCACAGGAGATTTTGTCACCCTTGCGGGCGGCATTCCAACGCTTGGATGGTTGGTGTCCAGATGGAGTTTTAACTGTGCAAGCCTGAGACCATTGATGCGTATTGTGTTGATGTCGCACCCAAGAATAGCAAGAATTGGAGGCCATCGCTCGTTTAGACTCCTGAGAGAGAGAGTTTTGTGCTTGCAAGCCGGTCGATGCCACCCCCACCCGTCGACAGGTGGATGACCTGAAGCACCGATTGCCCAAAATGGGATGTGCCATGACGAACCAAAACAATGTCAAGACGTTTAGAGACAAGGCAAAGAGATAGTTGCATATTAATATGTTTTCTCACAGTGCATAATATGCATGTAGTTTGAGGGCATCACTTCTAGTAACAAGGGCAGCACTACTAGTAGCAAGGGCGCTACTAGTAGCTCCTGGCATTACTACTAGTAGCTCCCCTCTCCTAGCAACATGGGCATCACTAGTAACAAGAGTCTCTTTTGAGTGCTGATTTCAAAGGCAAAGAGGTGCCAGGAGACATCGACCGGCTGCTTCTGGAGGAGTGGATACGAGTACTGTTTTTTTGGTTGAGATGACGGGTGCAGCGTATCCAAAACATTTTCCGTTTTTTCTCAATAGCCATGCTATGGGGTCTTGCAAAACTAATAGGCGGATGGGCGCCGTCGGGTCACCGTCAGAGCTGGTGGGCGGATGGTGTCCCGGTCATGTTTTGATGGTGTCCCGGTCATGTTGTGAT